CTTTCTTTGAGATCTATGCTCAGTACATGTGTGTAAGAATATATCCCTATCTATCTCTGGTTACAAAACTACTATCTGGTTACATGAACATTTCGTCACACACTCTAATATTTACATAAAGACTTAGTCACGAAATGCCGTACTAGTTTTGTGTCTCACATAATGATGAAATACCTTTGACTTTAGCTTCAGATTCCTTCAAGTTCATTTCAGCTTCCTGCAGCAAAATGCTGTACTTCTCTTCAAGCTCCTTCCTTGCTTTGTCTGCCTCTTCTGTTGGGTTTGTCAAAAAATACATATATATATATATATATATATATCGAGTGATTCCAAATCCGAAAATAGGATTTCACTGCGGCCAAGTGGTTGGCAGGAACGATGTTTTTTTTGTTTTACATGACAAGGAATCTCAAATCCCAAAAGAAAAAAGCTATTTTGCCATGCAGTGTTTTACACCATTGCTGCCGTAAAATCTGTCTGCACTGCTTGCAATGTTTCTCGTAAATTTTTGCAAAGCAACATGTTGCATAACGAATTGCCCTGCAAAAATATTTGTCATATCCTTATGAGAAGAAAGCAAATTCACTAATGCAAACCARCCTTTTTCTGTCTCTCTGTCTTTTGTTAATAGGTTGTTTAGTCTCCTTTCAGCAGCTTCATGCTGGGCCTTCGCTTCGGCATACTAAAAATAAACATTTATGTATTGTATAACACTTTTCAATATAAAGTTATTGATAAAATATCTACATTCTCTCTGTAAAAAGTAACCTGTTTAAGAAGAGTTCGTGCTGCTTTTTAGCCTTGAATTTACACTATCTTACAATTATTGTAATGACTCACGGTACGGACACATGTGCCTTGACCAAGCATTTTTATAAAATGCGCAGTAATCTCATGCACTTTGATTGGTTTAAAGGATGTTGCCAATTCTGTACCATGACCATAAGCAGATAWATGACATCCATTTGAAGTCCCATACAAATTCTACTCCATAAATTACATGTACAGTACCTTAGTTTGTAAAGTTTCCATTTCTTTAGTATTTGTGACCAGCATGTCTCTAGCCTGCCTGTTGCTTTTAGCCTCTGTATCGATTTGTGCCCTAAGCTCCTGCACTTGGTTCTAATGAGAAAGAAAAGATGAAAAGATGAGAGAACCCAGACGAGGATCCATAGCTATTCCGGCAAGCATTCTTGCCTTGATGTGTTAATACCACGTGAATCAACACGAGGTTTGAGTTGACTTGCATCAAGTCGACCTCTTTTGCCTCTCTTGTCTCCCAAAACGTTTTCTATTTGATTGAATTGAGAATTTGTCTCATGCAACGAATGAGCAAGAAAGTAGCGAGCAAGTACAGATACGCAAAGGACTTTGCGAAAGTCTAGGTTTGAGGTGTATCTACTGTAACCATGCTTACTTATGTACTTGTGCAATGTGATATCGCATGTGGTTCTTGCAAAATCCCTCCAAAAGAAACTGTACCATTCTTCCACCTCTGCAGCTGGTGCGCAGAGTGTGTAAACCAATTTCCGTACACAACATCCACTCTACCAAATTAACAACGTAAACTGTGTGTACTGTACACAATGCAGGCATAGCCTGCCTAATCGAGAATAAGTGTCTAGTCGTGCAGGCTAATGCAGGCATTCCTGATTGGGGACAGGGAGAAGTGTAGCAAAGTCCTCCTTACTCCTCTGTCCGAGTTAACCCCACTTCAAACAGGAGTGCCTGTAATGTAGGCTAACTGTGCTCTGAAAATGTGACCATAGAACGACAACTACCATTTTTAGTCTTTTAATATGTACCTCTAGTTTCCTGATGATATTGGTGTGATGTGATTCCTCTGCTTCCAGCTTTCTCTTTACCATGGTGCTTTCTTTCTGCAGAGCTTCAACTTGATTTTCMAGCCTTGTTCGTGTTTCAAATTCTGTTCTTTCTAATTGGTTCTAGATAATAGATAAATGAGTTGTTTAAAATATTATATCATATCAAAAGCAAATTCAATAATTGTTTATTATACAYTTTGTAAACTAAGAGTGGAGATTTGATACTGAAAACAAAAGAACTTCAATCTTTGCCGTGACCTTAGACTACAAGCAGTCCCACTTTCCCCTCAAAAACACTTTCTTGACCTTGAATGATCTTGAGATGATAAATGTATTTGTACAAAACACTACAACAATACTTTAATCATGTAAAGTTAAGGGAATGGCTGAATGTTCCTTTAGCCAAGGGAAGATACATTTTTTATTGGGAGGGGGGATGTTGCACTAAGGGATTTGCAGTAAATTTCTAATAAGATGTTGGTAGTCCTCACCCTTTCAGTCAGTACGAAATTCATGACCTTTTTATTAATTCAACAAGGAACTAGCTTTGAATTGATCTAAATAAAAACGTTTGACCTTCTACGAAATTTCAATTTTTTACTGATTAACCTCTTCTCTGAAGCCCCAGCCCTCCCTACCCCCAACATAAAAAGTGCCTTCCCCAATTACAGGTGAAATAGTGAGTAAAATGTATTAAGATATGTCTTACCTGTAGACTYCGCAAATTTGTTAGCAACGAATTCTGATTCTTTTGCTGTTCCAGGAGAGAYTTGTTCTCTTGTAACAGTCTCACTTCTGATTCCCTCAGCATGGCTTTCTCGGCTTTGATATTTTCACAGGTCACCTGTGGTAGACAGATAAAAAAAATTGTAACTCCTATTGAATTAATGATATGCATGTAAAAAGTGTACTCCGTTTTTACGAGTATTGTGAATGTTACTTAGACGATCCTTTAACTCAAAGTACAGGTTGCTGGTCTAAAAAATATCAGCCAATAAATGAGGCCAAACAAAAAAAGAAGTGTGTTTSCTGTTTCATGAGAAAAATAATTGGGGTCGGTAGGTCGGATTTTCTTTTTACTGTTACCACAGCTTACTGGGAACCCTGTGGTGCATTAGGGTTGGTTGCACAACAGGAAACACTTATTTTTTTGTTTGGCCTGATTGATAAATGGTTGTCACTCAGTTGCTCATGCAGTCCTTCACAAAGTATGGCTAGGAGCTTCCAACACATTGCTACTAAGAACTCTTTTTCACCTAGACATTTAATTATATTCAATCAATGTACCAACATTATTACCTCTGATTTATTCAACTTGTCTTTGAGCACAGAAAGTTCCTGAAGAGAAAAAGGTTTATCAATATTAATATTGTTTAAGAGGAAGATGAAAAAATTGCAAGAGCCAGGATATTATGGTAGGTAAAAACRAACCAACAAGAAAGAACAAAAACAAATGGACGAAAATTAGACAAAGAACAATGTTGTCTTTTCTGTTTAGTTTTGAAAAATGGAAGACGAACAGTGTCCCTGATCATTGGTTCTGAATGCATTCCATTGTTACTCATTAATTATGTTTGGAGATGTTGACGATAGCAATAGTGGCACCACGCAAACGCAGTAGCCACAAAAATCACAACTCAACTGAGAACACAGACAGACAGACWAAAATAAACTAACTAAYATACAGAGAAGAGATAACTAGCKMAAAACTAGTGTGAGCTGTGTCGGTGTTTCTAATGAAACAGTAATGATAAAAAGGTAAATTATACACCGTGAAAAGATGAAAAAACTTACTGACATTTCAGACGCTAGTCCTTCGTCGGAGTAAAAGAACTAATATACAGCACAATCAAATACATAAATCAGCACAAGTGGCTKTCACCCAGAGGACCCAAGACTCACCTGTGACTGAGAGTCTAGTTKTGCCTGTAGTTTTGTGTTGGACAGGTTTAACTGGTGGGATTTTTCACTGGCTGCTTTTGCTTCTTTCTTGAATCCTTCAACATTTGAATGAAGCATTTTGTAGCGTTCTTCTGAAAACTCCACCTGATCCCAAGATAAAAGAGCATCGACAGAGTTAAATAATGCAACATGACAATAAGTAGCACATGAGTTTTTACAAGTATACCATAGTAAACCACCAATGGGTGGTACCTCTTGGCAGTGGAGTAGGAAAGGAGGGAGGGAGGGAGGAAAGGGGATGAGGTAAAGCAAATACATTGGACATACGACAGAATCAATGGAGACACTAAAATCTCTATTCACATAACCCAAGTCCAAGAATTTAACAGAGAAAAAAGCTGAACTCCCCCCTCCAAAATTCGAGATTTCATTTTATGCAGTGTTTCTAACAAGAAAGATTGTATTAATTTTATTTGATATATTATTCTTATATTTTACGATGATTGAGATAACATATAAGCCCTTTCTACAGCTTAATCTTTCACTATGGATTATACTAATGGAGTTTCTGTGGATTTGGCAGTATGCCCCTTCAACTTAGGGCATCTGGCTACACTACTTCTACATGTACTATTAATAGTAACAAAACAAATAAAGAACAGTTACCTGGGATTTTAGTTTGGAGCCTTCACCGCGTAGTTGTGCATTCTCCATTTGTAGACTGTCGAGCCTTTCAGTTAATTTACTGAAGTGTAAAGGATGTTTAATTTAAATCATAACTTTGACCTGAAGTCCATGTAAGTCGTACCGTGTACGTGCTGTAAGTCAGTACCGTATGTTTTCCACTCATACCAAAACCACTCTACGGAATGTCGTACCGTGTACGTGCTGTAAGTCAGTACCGTATATTTCCCACTCATATACCAAAACCACTCTACGGCATGTCGTACCGTGTACTTGCTGTAAGTCAGTACCGTATGTTTCCCACTCATACAAAAACCACTCTACGGAATGTCGTACTGTGTACGTACTGTAAGTCAGTACCGTATATTTCCCACTCATACCAAAACCACTCTACGGCATGTCGTACTGTGTACATGCTGTAAGTCAGTACCGTATGTTTCCCACTCATACAAAAAAAAAAAACCACTCTACGGCATGTCGAACCGTGTACGTGCTGTAAGTCAGTACCGTATGTTTCCCACTCATACAAAAAACACTCTACAGCATGTCGTACTGTGTACGTGCTGTAATTCAGTGCCATATGTTTCCCACTCATACAAAAACCACTCTACGGCATGTCGTACCATGTACGTGCTGTGAGTCAGTAATGTATGTTTCCCACTCAGACAAAAACCACTCCACGGAATGTCGTACCATGTACGTGCTGTAAGTCAGTACTATATGTTTCCCACTCAGACAAAAACCACTCTACGGCATGTYGTACCATGTACATGCTGTAAGTCAGTACCGTATGTTTCCCACTCATACCAAAACCACTCTACGGCATGTCGTACCRTGTACGGGCTGTAAGTCAGTACTATATGTTTCCCACTCATACCAAAACCATTCTAATCATGACTGATAACATACTCTTCAGCTAGTTTCCTTTCGTCTTTGTAATCTGCGAAGTGCTTTTGTAGTTCTCTTAGCGCATCTCTTGTTTGTTCTACAGCAGCAAGAGACTTGTCATGAGCACTTGGTGATCTGGTCTGAAGGAATGATTCGTCTGTAGGTAAGGGAATCTGGAAAAACAATGCAAAAACAWATGAATAGGATTTTCATAGGTTTGAAAAAACAAACTTTAGACTGGAATTATTAATCCTCTTACACTCATGCAATCAGCCCCAATCTTCACAGCCGTTGTCAAAAATGTTTACAGTCATTAAATGAATTACATCAGTCAAATTATYGTTAAGCAAGTACTCTTGGAAACATGGATGGTGACCATGTGTATTGTTAATGTGCTGCCTCTCACTGTTGCGGCCAAGGGTTCAACCCTTAAGGCCCCCATCATAAATTATGTTGGTAGGGTTTCTTGCTAGTTCTCCACTAATTTTGTGCTTCAAGGGTTTTTRTACGGGTTCTCTGGTTTTCCTCCCTCAAAAAAATCAACTTCTAAATTCAAATTTGATCATATGAGCTGAGAGCCACTGGCTATTAGGTGCTATCCTTGTAAAAGAAGGATGATTTAAATGCCTTTAATGACAACAGACTTATCTAAGAGGAGATTCAATACTCACAGGCRATTGTCCAGTATTAGCCAGCAGAACACGGTACATGTCTCTCTGTCTTACCATAACTTCAACCTGTAAACAAGTCATAAGGGCCTTGATGAACAATATTTCAGTGTAATTTTAGTTACCCTATCTCATTAAAGTTTTACTGTGTATTAAAGTGCTGCGCACCGAACAGTGAACACCCAACAAAGTTTCGYACTAGTTTTTGACAAGTTTCAATTGATCTCTTTACCRGTAGCCAATYATGTTTTGGCACTTCACTTTAATGTTTCGATATCATTATATCGATGCACAAACTCTGCCTATCCAAACATCAAGGTGAAGCGCTGAAGTCTAATTGGTTGACGGTAAAGAGCACAATTAAAACTAGTCAAAAACTTGTACGAAACTTTGTTGGGTGTTCACGGTTCGGTGCACAGCACTGTAACATTATCGTAGGGATTGTTTCCCTTCAACTGAAAACGTTATTTTTATGGTAAAATGTTGAAGGTTTGATTGATGGATGATCATTTAAAGATTATTTCCAGAAATATGACTTCATAGTGGAAGTCTAAGGCACGAGGAAAAGTCAAATTCACCAAGTTGTACAAACAGACTAATATAAAAAAGACCTTGGTATTAAGCTGTATAATAAAATATTCGAGATTGCCTACTATTACAACGTCAATAGGATCATAAATCATTTTCTTTTCCACACACCATGTTCATCTGTCTTGATCTCTCATCTTTAACATGCTCYAGTTCTTTCAAAGCCACACTCAACTGATCCTTCAAGTCTGTTATCCTATGCGGCAATGAAAACAGAAAGAGATTTGGCATAAAGAGAATTACATAAAAGAATATTATTCATAATAATTTAAACAAGTGAGTGACACCTTTGCATTTTCAGACCCCTCCTTTGCTTYGCATATCCATAAGTTAAAAAGGAAATGTAATAATAAAATGAATAGATACTGAAAAAGGCAATTTCTAGAAGAATTTTTTACCTCTAAATGCTAGAATAACCTTTTTCAACAGTTTTGTATTGCCTCTTTTTGAATACGCTGACATAGTGTGGGGGGGATAGAGGAAATATAACGCTTATGTCCGAGCTGCAGGTGCTTCATAATAATGCAGCAAGTTGGTAACCTTATTAAAGATTATTATTAATTAAAGATTATTATTAAGGTAAGTTTAATAAAAACAAGAAGTTATCTGGGAATATTCTCCCACGTCTTTGTTAAAGATTTTCATTGTAATCTTACATGTTATCTGGTCCTCTTTGCTCATTCTTTTCTTTGTCCTCACTGAGCTCCCTGACCACAGCCAACAGTCTCTGGTTCTGCTGCTGCAGCTCTTCAATGTTTTTAAATGTGACAAGATGACTAGAGATGACTTGTGATGAGCTTGACACTTCCTCAGACGATGTGTTCATTGTCATCATTTTTCCTGCTCTGGCTTCTTCACACTCTTTCAAAAGAACTTGGACCTAAATAGAAATGTGGTGAGGTGGTATGGCTGGTGTATCTTTTCATTTCTTTTAGAGCTTCACRAAACTATTTTGACTTCAAATGCTAATCAAATACCTGTTGGCTAAGATCAGCACTTAGGGTCTTTAATCTGTTGTTTTCTCTCTTTAGATGCTCACATTGTTTTCTTGAGTCTTCTGATTCAATGGCTAGCTTTTCATGTTCCTTTGTAAAATATAGAATGACAATAATTATTAGTAAACATATTATCATTTCTATAGCAACAACTACTGTCAGGGTAATAGTCAGGGCATCTGAAAGGTTTTTTGGTAAATAATGCAAATTGTGCAGGATTTGGRACGTACTGTAAATTGAGTGGAAAAAATAGTTGATTATGAAACACCATGTTGTTTTTGATATCTACTCRAACAGTTTCAAACAACAGAGGTGATTTCTCAACATGTTTTGGAAGGTTATAAAAATTACAATGATCAAGAAAAATGCCTGATTATTTTAAAATTTTTGGCAAATTGTGTGGGATTTTGAGGAAYTGTATGGGATTGTGCGGATCCGCAATCCCGCAACCTGTCAGATGCCTTGAATAGTAAAAAATACAACCCCCCAAACTATGTCAGTATGACATCCTACTGGTAACCTATCAATAACCAACCAACTGTGTATAACCAACTGTACACGTACCAACAACCTAACAATACACTACCAATACCAATTTAGGKCTCATATCCTTTTCTATCAGGGTACAAAATTAATGCTTGCAAACTCGCAAAATGTGGGTGAAATWTTGTACAATGTATTTAGCGAGAGACAAAAAAATTAACTAGCTAAGTTTTGCAAGTATGACCACAGTCAAGAAAGTAAAGGACTGAAAAGTTTAGAACCTGCATCAAGTAACATTTGTTATTCACTGTGTCCGAATGCTAGTGACTTTGAAATTTTTGCTAATGAGAACAAAACTTACAAGCAAGATTTTGCTAGTGGGTCTAAAAGTTAATTTCATGCCCTGACTATTACTTAGAGTTAGTAGAAAGCTGATAAACTTTATTAGAGTAAGCTTAAAAAATTATTTCTTATATGTGTGGGTGTGGGAGGGAGGTCACTATCCTCAACATATCGCACCTCCCTACACTATAAAGTATGTACCTTCAAAAAAAACACACATCACACAAATCATTTTCATGCGCAAAATAACTTTTTTCTACGACAAGGATTAATATGACAGTCAAACCTCAGTAAACCAAGTAATGGGGTTTTATATAGACTATTTTTCAATGTACTTACAACAAGTGAACTTTCAAGTTTCATTGTCAACTTGTCAACACTATGAAGAGCATTCTCATAGTCCCGTCTTTGTTGCTGTAAAATGGGTGCCTTTTCTTCAAGTTCCTATAAAAAACATTAATTTTATTTTCAGTGGTAATTCAGTTTATTAGAAATAGCAAGCAGGATGAGAAACCTTCAAAATTCTGATACCAATTACCTTCATTATTTGATCCAGATAATTTTTTAGACGAACATTTTCATCTCTTTCTTGCTGGAGTGAGTCTGATACCTCTACATACTGGGAATAGATCTAAAATTTTCCAAATCATTACAAAAGTATGTATTAGACAAACAAAAAAAAACACACACACACGAACAAAACAAACAAATATGGCAAGGGCAATARATTGAAAAACATTTAACCTACATGTACATGTACACAGTTGTTGTTGCAGTAGARATGTCAGAATGAATGAACGACGCCATTCCAYGTTTGATAAGATTACAGACCATAGAAAAGGGACCTCAATTTGTTTTTTTACCACAACAAAAATTCAATAACACACWTYTTKTCAAAGTTTTTTTAGTGATCAAAAAGACCAATGGAAAGAGCGCGCTTGTTGACGTCAGCTTATTGGTCTGTCGTCTTACCGATGATGAAAATTGACCAATCAGTGTGTGAGAAATTAACAAATGTGTGGTAAAATAATATTATTTTTTCAATACCAAAGACATTACTTACTTCAGTGAGAGTCATTCCTGATTTCAGTAAGGAACTTGTTGCTGCGGCAGTAGGTGATAATGCACTTAAGCTCTCCGACGTCATGGGTGCAATACCTACGTTAACAAATCTGGCATCAGTACAGTCATTTTTGCATTACTTATTCAGGTTGTGAAGTTCCTTGRCAAAATCTGAAGCATGTGGTGAAGTTGACAGGTATGTGGCAATAAGCCACTCGACTTGTGAATTTCAATACCTGACATTCTTGGTACTTAAGTTCAGGTTGTAAATAAATACTTTGTGTGRTTGTGAAAGAGGGTCATTTTGGAAAACTTACACTGACTTTGTTCACCAAATAATATATGAAAATAAACTATTTTTATATCACAATATTATGAAAGTKGTCAATACTATCGGCATTCAATACCTCTCTGTCTTGCAGCTTGCAAAAGGTCATTGGCATTCTCAAGTTCATTTTCAAGTTTGGCGATTTTGTTATCTAGAAATATAGCAGGAACAGGTAATGAATAAATCAATGAATKAATKAATTAATAAATGACATGACCCAAATCATGACTACAACAATATTTTGTACATAATGTACCTGCTTCGTACAAGCAATACTTACTTAATTCAGATAAAACTTTTTCATTCGATTCTTCCTGTTCTTTCAGCTTGCTCTCAGATTCTAGTCGAGCTAAACAAATGCGAAACACAATTAACAAAAGTCTTAAAAATTTGATTTTGGCTGCAAGGATAACAATTCGATATTCATGATCAGCTATAAATAGTTCACTGTCATAATAACAGTATATTAACTATACCTTCCTCGGCATTTTTCAAGAACKTCTGTAACTCTTCCATAGCACTCAGCATCTCTTTACACTTTTTGGTGTTTTCTGCAGCCTCATTCTGAAAGAACAAATGTCAAAGAATGTATGTATTTTGTGCCAAGCATTATTAATATAACAGACGAGTGTTGAGCCATACAAATTCACTCATGATTGTAAGCAGCAGTGCTGCTAGTGCAGTTTTCRTATGACTGTGAAAAATTCACGGCAGAAACACGGCCATGACACAGCAAGGGATTTGCCAGACCAATCACATTGCACGATAATTTACTCTCCATCCAATCAAATACCCGGAACACGGCACAAACATGGCG